CACAAATGACCAGGTTCAAATTATCCTACTTTGGACACATTATGTGAAGACCCAGCTCTCTAGAAAAGGCTCTGATGCGAGGAAAGGTGGAAGGAAAGAGAAGAAGAGGATGACCAGGAGCAAGGTAGATGGCCTCAGTTACAGAGGCAATAGGTGCGACATTGGAAGACTTGAGAATCAGGTTGAGCCCTGATCCTCCTGGAGAAAATCTATTTACGTGGGTGCTAAGATGCTGACTTAATGGCACGTCAATCAATCAATCAATCAATCAATCAACAACTTATTGAGGTCTATGGGGTTCCTAAGGCTTTTGGGCTTGCCTTTGGCCTTCAGGTTGCCTCATCATGTTCACAGTTAAGGGATGTCTCTTGGCTTGCCATTCCACACAAATGAAGCCCCTGTGAGGAAGTCTGAGGAAAAAATCCGGCTGTTCCAGCACATTTCTTCTCTCCAACTGTGCATTTAAAAATGTCAAACTTGCAAAAATTATAAGTTTCCTCCTGGGCAAGGGACAATCAGCTATGCAGGGTAATTTTGGCCACTGCAGAGGGGTTTTTTTTGGGGGGGGAAGGTGGTTTAGAAAGAGAAAAACTACTGGTCTCCATAAAGTGATTCTATAAGAGACACTTCAAACCTTCTTACAAGACATTTCCAAAGGTTTTCCTTGCACCAGGGAAGGCATTTTGATCAGGAAATATTTGCACTCAACATCCTAACAAACAGGAAGTGAAGCCCCTTGCTCTAGGTTTATATTTGCACTAAAAGGGACCCACAAATATTTATTTATTTGATTTGTATAGCCACCCATCTCATCTAAGCGACTCTGGGCGGCTTATGTATAGCTGCAAGATGGCAGAATTTTGATAGCAAGTGAGAGGCTCACAGGTGGGTCTGGAAGGACTGGGTAAAGGTAGCACAGGTGCCTACCCTAGACAAACCTCTCTACCCATTCTCTACCCATTTGCTATATTCCTGCATTACCTGAGGAAAAAGCATTTTTAACAAAAAAATCCAAAAACAGAAATTAAGTATTAAAAAAAACTAAAAGAAAAAAAAAAGGCCTGGGCAATTATGTCATAAACAGGTCAACCCCTCAAACTGACAAAAGCTACCAAATTTACAATACAATAGACCAGAGCGTTTTTTCCCTGGAAGCGGAAGAGAGGGGCTGACAAGTTCTATTTTTTTAATTAATGGGACTACAAAGACCAGGTTTCTTTTCCGTGCCTTATTATCCCAGTCCACTGACAAATTTGAACAAGTCCAGAGAGCTTTCGTTTCCTTGGCCATATGTTACTACTCACCTTCCTTTGTGGCATTGATGGTTGTGGATGTAGTTGCAGCTGTCCCACCAGGACGTCCCACCGGGCTGGCGTGCTTCCCGGTCCTCCCGGGAATTTTAAGTCCACTTGGCTTCAGCATCTTTGCCCAGGTTTGCGCCTCAAGGTACGAGATTCCTTTGGTCCTGCGACTGATTGCCTAGTGCTGCAGGTTCAAGCGTCTAAGTGACACGCCCCTTCATCGACCTTTAGAGACCTGAACAGATTGACCAACATCCAACAGAAAATATATATTTATATAAGTAAATGGTACGCAGCAAAAAAAGCAAACAAAAAACACTTCATTTATAAACTCCTGCTTGAGACTGGATTGAATTATTTGTCCCAAGTTGGAAACAAAATTAAGAGTATATAAAGCGTGGAGGATTGGCTTATTCCATACCAATCAACCATGGGTTAGCTACAAGTCCTGGATTATCCCTCCTTTAGCAATGCAAAAGACATGGGTTTCTTAGGGTTAGGAATTTAGTCATTCCCATTATGTTCTTTTTTGCAAGCAGGCATTCCAAAATACATCAGTCTCCAATGGGATCTCACCTACACTATGCCTGGAACTTTAAAGCTTGGAAGTAGAACGCCCTTAATAAAATTAAGTCCTAAAAGGGGCGAGCCCTTTTTGAAATTTACTTGGTTTATCATTTGATCTGGTCTGTCCAGCTTTCTGTACAAACATCTGTCATTAGCCGGGAATCCTACCAGGAGTCTTTCTCATGACAAGTCAGCCTATATTGAAATCTTTGAGTCATGTCTTAATTACTTCCTGTCTCAGCTACTGCTGTCCCTGCCTTTGTGACATGATGAAACACTTTGGTAACTCCAGATTTTTCTTCTGACTGTTGGACAGATCTTTATTGCTACATTTCTCAAGATCTGTATAAAGCCGCAATCTCTATTTTTCTTGCCTTTTTTCCATGCATAGCACCCCAAGGGTTCTGATTTGCAGAATCTGATTGCAGATGTCTATGTTACAACAGCTCTTTCTCAGACAGATTAGAAACCAGAGGAAAACTCCTCATAAATACAGGAGTCTTTACATCCTCCAGGTAAAGACATGTGGCTTTCACAACTTGCTTGCTTAGTAATCTATAACTCTGAATGAAAAAGTGACATGGAACCAAATATTTTAGCATTTTCACTAGAAATCACACAATGTACATGTTGAAAGGGATCTTGGAAAGAAATTAGTCCAACTTCCTGCCCAAAGCAGGAGTATGCTACCACTCCCACTAATTCACCCCTTATTTCCTAGGATAGTAGATGTCCCAACGAAGGATCCTGTAAAGCTACATTCCACAAACTGACCCAGGAGCCAGGAAAATAGTGTCTACAGATCCCAAGTTTAAATAAATGGTAAAAAAAAATGGTAAAATTTTGCAACATGAATTCAGAACGGGATGAGATGTAACGATCTTGTGAGATTGAGAAATATAATACTTGTAATAGTAAAAGAGAAAGCATGCCTGCTATTGCATTAGATCATTCAATGACTCTATGACTTCCAGTATGTGAATGCAAAGGTGCTACTCTCTGACGTTCTCAACCAAATTTGTACATTTCTTCTGCATTTATACATCAGATACAAATATTACATTTCATATTATTTATTCAGTTTAAAATGGTGCTTGCTATCTTTCCTCCACCTCTTTCTGGTTGTATTTCTGCTTCATCTGTGAATGGTTAGAGATTCTGTCATACTGCCCTTTCTGCTCAGAGGCTGGACAATCTGTAGAAAGCCAAACCAGCATATCAATTTAGTTCCTGATACTGACATTTTCTCCAGTGACAAAAACAGAGTATATCTCTGTCAAGAAGAAGATTTGGCTAACAGTCAACAAACATATTGGTTTGATGTTCAGGAGCACGTCTTTCGCTCTGGCACCAGCACAACCGCTAAGAGAATCCCTGCATTTCTCTAATACTTTTTGTCATAATCGTAAAACATTTTGGTCTCAGGACCCCTTTACATTCTTAAAAATGACGGAGGACCCCAAAGAACTTTGGTTTATGTGGGTTATATCTATTGATATTTACTGTATTAGAAATTAAAACTGAGAAAATTTAAAATATTTAGTTGACTTTGCAGACCCCCTGAAAGGGTATCAGGGAACCCCAGGCATCCCCAGACCACACTTTAAGAATTGCTGCTCTAATACCTGGGGGGAGGTAGGATCCCATTATAAATAGTTGGAAAGCAGTGAAACCACTTGCTGGTTTTTGAAAACTCCTTAAATTTCTCTTGGCTGATCTAGAAAACTAAGCAGAATCCAATCTGTTTAGTCCTTGGATGGAAGACCAATTAGAAAACTATATGGATGCATCCATTAAGTCACCAAAAGTCCAGCTCAACTCAATGGACACTTTATCTGAAGGTGGTTTCAACAGAGAAGAACTTCCATCCCCAAGCCCTATTCAAACAGCAGAGCTCAGCATGACATCAGTGAAGAACCTCTCCCTTTCCTCCAGATAAAAATTCAGGATTGTAAGACTAGCTTTACTAGATCAAACCCAGAAGGTATCTAATCCAACAACCAACTTCTCTGGAAAGCTCATCATCATTTATCCATTCATGTTCTTGTTCCCCAGTAACTTTTCTCAGAAGCCTAATACAGCTTAATCCACTGTTGATTTTGTCTAATCTAGCCCCTGCACATTTTGGGGATTGCAGTTTTGGGCAGGGGTGAGCCGGAGTGAGCAAGTGAATGAGGTCATCACACATGTGCTTGGAGTAGTTTTTCTCTTTGTTTTTTGCTTTTGGGTGGGCCAGAGTTAGGACATATTCTTTGGTTCTGAATCTCATTAAGTTTATTTTAGTGCTTACCCTTCAATTTGTGAGAATTTCCTGTTTCAAAATGGTTTGAAACCATTCTCACCAATTTTTGGCTATCACAACAACAACATTTAACACTGTAGTTAAATATTGTTCCAAAGGTCACATAAAGGGCTTTGGGGACTATATACAACCCTGACTACAAGTTGTCCAAACATGTCTAATCCTTTAAGGCAGGGTTCCTCAAACTTGGCGACTTGAAGATGTGTGGACTACAACTCCCAGAATCGGGAGGCTGGCTGGGGAATTCTGGGAGCTGAAGTCCATGCATCTTCAAGTCGCCAAGGTTGAGGAACCCTGCTTTAAGGAGCTCACTTAAAAAGAGGAAAAGCCTTACAGATGATGCAATTCTTGATATAGACAAGACAGATGCTATTTTGAGGGGAACCAAGGACCAAACCTGGCCTTTGAATTTATTTATTTATGAGATGTATCCTTCGCCCCATCCAGTTAGACTCTAGGTGATTCACAACATATATACCAACAACAATAATAATATAACAATATATAGTGAAACTAAATCTAAACTATCAAGATTGTCATTGAAAAACATGTGAGACCAGGACAAAACCTAAATTTGATTTAACTTAATTTGCATTTGATCAACATTAAATTATTTAAATACAGTTCATACGATTGCTCCCTGTGTATTTTTTCATCTTACTCTTCTGCCACGTTAAAAGTTACAGCTGGGCTACAATTTCCGGGAGGGCCCAGAATCATAGGCAGTTCTGTATCTGTATAGATACTAATTGAGAACTAATTAGTACAATTGAAATACTAGTATAATATAGCTCATAGATGTAGCTGAGGTTCAGTCTGCTGGCAAGGTGTGAACAATTGTTGACAAGGGATCTCCTTCCTTCTAGTAGCTCAAAAAGCCAGACAGTTCAAGGGTTGTGATTCAAATAGAGAATTGTCTTCCTTGCAGATGGATTCTTGGGCATCCCATTTAAAGAGGGAATAACAATGTTCATCTCCTGAAGGAGGGATCTAACAAGTTAACCAGGAATCGTAAGTGAAAATAACATTGCCTGAATGCAAGGCAGCCTAATTTGTAGACACGGACACATCCCTTGGACCCCATTTTTATAACTAAAAGTTTAAATTAAAATAGCCAAATCCCTTAGGACCTTTGTGTCCTCTTATGAGATCTCAAAAACCGTAGCCATCTATATTATCATTATTTCTTATTTTTGACTCATGGCATTATGCAAAATCACACAATAGCACCTGCCACGTGAAAAGGTTACTGTCCTGCGCCAGGCCTCCCACCAGTAACAGCTCATCAGCACGAATCATAGAACTTAAAAAGAAAAAGGGCAGCTTAAGGCAGCAATTAACAAGGGAGCACTCTCCTTCCACAAAATGTGTCAGCATAGACCACCACCAACAGAAATTTGGGTCTGGCTTGGGAAAACACATAGAGCAAGAGCCAGAAGTTCTGCTTGCTTTTGGGAGGAAAGCTGAAGAGAGCTTGTACACTTACCTAATGTGGAGGTTCAAATGCACTGGGGTGTCATCACCCAACATCTCCAGAACCTCAAAAGAAATGCCCTCCAGGCACTTGATGCTTCTCTCCTGATGTCTGTGCTCTCCAGCGTGCATCCGCTACATGAAATCAGTTGCAGGAATCAACCAATTGCAGATCCATCTGGATGCCTGTAAGAGCAATGATTTTTTTTTTTTTTGGCTCTCTCCTTTTATAAACAGGAAATGGGGATGCAAAAAAAAAAAAAAAAGTGATGTCAAAGTAACAGCAACAGGACTTTGGGAACTTAAGCATTTGTACAGGCATCTCAAGGGAGAAATTCTAGTTTTTCCTTCCAAACATTTTTAAAAGAACGTTTTAAGCCAGAACAATAAATGCAGTGTAAGAAAGAGAGAATATAGACTGTACTGACAATATGAAAAAAAATGGGTTGAACTTGTGTTACTGTTACAGATTGCTCAGAACATGTTAACAAATTCACTATCTGCCTCTTTAATACTGGCTTCTAGATTTTTTTCTTTTAAACATGAATAGAGAGCTCCTCTTTTGAAAATGACTCAGTGCTGAATTTGGCAGGTCTGGACAGGCTTAAGCCTTTCTAAAAAAAAATGTCCTTGATTTTTCTTTTCTTTTTCTTTTTAAAGAACTAGGCGGAAGAATAAAATTAGTTCACAATTTTTAAAACCACTATCACTTGTTATAAAAAGCAGAACTCCTTTTTAAAATTGCTTTTCTCCAGTCCTGTTGTAGGGAGCAAATAAATAAAGCAAGCAAACAAGAGTATAAAAAAATGACACACCCAGCAGAGCTAAGACACTGGGAAGAGGGTCAAGGACCCATTTAGATGGAACAGAAAGGTTTCTAAATAACAGAAATACTTTACTATATTTTAAATTAGGACTCTCCCCAACATAGGCCATAAAACTCAGAGTTTAACATTTAATTGTATCACAATAGACAAGTTCTCCTTCAGACTCACCAATAAAGCTTTCTCATCCTCAAGATTAAAAGCAGACTTCCATAAATCAGTCTATTCAATGTTCAAGATGATTCAGGAACAGATGTTTAATGGGCAATTGTCTTGACTCAACCATCAAATTTTATACAAAAGTCACTGATTCCTATTTATCATTCCCACTTCTTACACTACAGTACTTTCCTTTAACATAAAAAGAATCTGTTAAGGAGGGAATAGCTGCACATTGGTTTTTAATCCATAATGCAAGGAATGATTGCATTACTTTAGTTGACTGATCCCAGAAGCCCCCTCTTTTTTTTTTTTTTTGGAAAACATGGATTGAAAAGGGCCTTAATCAATTAATACATAATGATACCTTTAATACTTCCAAAAAGTATATAATATACTAAAAATAATTGAAGGGCAATGTAATTTACCAAAAAACAACTGAATGGCAGTACATACACCTACAAGATGTCTTACATTCCTTGTGTGACCCTGACTTAGCAGCCTCTGAAAGCTACTGGTCAGCTGGGGGCAGCAGGGGGGTGGAGTGCAGGGTGGCCAAAAGTGCAGAGATGGGGGGGGATAGGCGGGTGGAGGGAGTTGAAGCGCCCCTGTGGAGGGCTGCCAAGCACCCAAATTTTGTTCATGTGACCACGGGGGCACTGCAACAGCTGTAACTTCGAGGACTGGTCGTAACTACCATTTGTTCAGCACCGTCGTAACTTTGAATGGCAGCTGAACAAATGGTCATTAAGTGGGGACTACCTGTAAATTGGGCTTTACTGGACTCCTCAATGGATGTTTATTATTGTCTTTTTTCTATGCTGAAGATGTAATACATTTTAAGGAATGTTAGTGCTTTTATTCCGGAAATGTTCCTTAGTAATTCCTTATCATTTAGATATTATGATGAAGCAGATTCTATGGAAGGAAATGAAGTTTTAAAGATGTTGATGTACATTTAAATGGTTGGCTTCCAGGTACAATTCCAGATGCTGGTTGTCACTTACATGGCTCAGGACCTGGATACCTATGGGACCACCTTTTCCCAGTGGTTTCTGTTCATCCAGTAAATTATACTACAGGAGACATATTTCCAGTCCCATCTTTGGGGGGCTGTCATACTTAACAACCACGAGTGTGTGCCTTTTCTATTGCTGCCCCTCTCCTTTAGACCACTTCTCCACCCAAAGTCAAGTCAGCATCAGCCTTGTTGTTCAAGAAAGCAGCTAATCTGACTGTTACAGAAAGCTTCTGGGGCAATGTTTCTCAACCTTGGTAACTCTAAGCTGTGTGGAATTCTGGGAGTTGAAGTCCACACAGCTTAGAGTTGCTAAGGTTGAGAAACACTGTTCTGGAGTTTGATAGTATGGCAAATTCTCTGCCTGCAATAGGTGACTATTGTTGTTAGGACTGTAGAAATAAATAACATTATACTCCCAAAACTTAGATGTTGTATACTTTTGAAGAGCTTTGGATATAGGTGTATTCCTAGAAAGATGCATATGTAGGAGACTCTAAAGGCTCGCTCAGCAAAATGTATTAACTCTCACCCTTTGAACTGGCTTTGTGTAGCTGGACAGGCAAAATTAGACAATATGATTCCATATAGTCTAGCTTTAATTAGTTCTTTAAAAATAGAATTGTCATTATTTGTTTAACACATAAATATAACATTACCATTTTGATATAGAGAAATTTTGAAAATTGAATCATATTGAATTATTGAATGTCTTTATGATTTTTAGTGTGTTTTTGTTTGGATTGTCTAGCTTTTCCAAGCTTTTTTCTTTAATAGGTTAAAATGAAATTCCTAAATGTTGATCACTGTTTTTATTGTTTAAAAAGGTCAAAGAAATTATTTTTAAAAATATTTAATTGATCTACCAATTTATGGCCTATGTTCCTTCTAATAGCCTTCATAGGAAGTGAGTGCCAAGGTTGTTGTCAAAATGGCAAAATCCATGCCCAGGAGGGAATTATCCATAAGGTGATAGGAAAAGGAGAAATTCTAAGGTTTGCATTAATATGCATTAAAAAAAGAGAGAACGTGTTAGAAATAATCCAATGACAAAGGAGCATGTTACATGGAAAGAGATAGCAGAGCTGGCCTGCTAGCACAAAATGGTTTGTGTGCAACTTTGAGGCATATTTTGGTTAGCTTCTTTTGTGAAAGAAATTACAAATACACATAAGGAGAAGAGCCCTAGCTGAGTATCTTAGACACAGTAATAGTATGGCAAATTTTCCATTAGATACTTGGATCCCAAGACCCTGGGGAGTTTAAAAAAGGAAATAATGAAATGAGGTATACATAATTTGTTGCTTTGCAAGTGGGTGGCCTTAGAAAATGAATGAATGAATGAATGAATGAATGAATGAATGAATGAATAGCAGTTATACTGTAAACATTGAAAGGATATGAATAAGATGGACCCAAAATTCGAACAAGTTTTCCCCATACTAATGAGCGGAGCCTGAAAGAAAACATTTCATTACATAATTATCTCTTAATTGCTTTGTGAGGTACATTGTTGAACTAAGAAAATGATGGCTTTAATTGCACAATACACTAAATTACAATGAGCAATCCAGGGTTTACAGAATTAATCAATTACTTCAGTTTGTACCACACATTGAGTCACAAACCAGCCAACCAGATTTTAGCTTAGTTTAGCATGTAAACCCAGACAATGTCTGGCCCAAAGTCAACAATAAGGTCTACAGTCAACTAGAGACTTCTCAACTATAGACCTAGTCTCGTCCAGTCTGCCACATTCTCCTCTATTACAGTCCCATTATATTCCCCCCTCAGTTTTCCATACATTCCTCCTTACTGAGCATCCTCATTGTCTGTTCTGATATGACAGGATTCTCTCTGTGAAGTATTCTTGGCTGTTTATATCCTGGAACTCCAGGGATTGCAGGAAAGAACATTAAAATCTTGTTGACCAGGTACAGCTAAAGGTTCAGTGTCTTGAGGGCAGTGGAGATTACAATTTAACAGCTAATAAATGTTATCTACTCTCTGTGACATCCCTCTTTCACCCATACACTCTTGAAAGGTTTCAGGTTCTCCAAGTCTGAAGTATTTCTTTCTTGTGCATGAAAGGTGCTGTGAGTGAAAAAATCCATGTAATAGCAAATCTGACAGTTGAAAACATAAAGGATAAATGGAAACTGGCCAGCCCACTCAAAAAAGGGAGCCATGTAGTCTGTCACACAAGGTAGGAAGGAAAAAGAAACACAAGTGACTGAATATTGTTTCTGTATATAAGGCTTAGATGTTGCATTAGCTACTGACTAGTAGGAGGTACTACATGACCAGTTTCATCCTTACTGGGACTCTTCAAACACAGGTATCTTTGCACTTGGGTTGACCATAGAACATCTAATATGAAGGATACTTACACCTGAAGAGTCCCAATAAAGACTCTGGAGGTGCTTCCTATTGTTCAGTAACTAAGATAACATCTAAGCCTTAAAGGAAGGCAGTCTTGAGGACTCTAACATGATACCCAGCCCAATAAAAATCACAAAACTCTCTAGTATGAGAGCATGTAGGGAAAAAAAGAGGGAAGGTGTACCTGCATGGTTTCTGTACATAAAGTTTGTTCTTGAAATACAGCAGTTGTTGATATTCTTTGGTTATGGCTTCCTAGCTTTCTTCAATGAATATGATTTATCAGAGGTTCTTATATTTCTTGTGAGCTTGACTGTGTGGTTCAGTCCTGCCAGTAGGGCAAAGCCAGACAAGTGTGGTTTTGGGGTTTGGAAGAAGAACTTTGATTCTATCATGTCAGATGGACATTTCTCAATCACCTTCTGAATCCTCTCTCTATAATGGATTAGCCAAACCCAAAACCAGAGCCGAAGAAGATCTTCTCTTACTCCTCCTGACCAAGGAAAGGCTGCCAACAGAAGCTGCAGTGCGACATCATCAGGAATGACCCACCGCTTTTTTCTAGAAGTTACTCAAGAAAAAAAAAAGTTGGGAAAACTTTTCTTCCAAGAAAACCATTGTAGGCTAACTATGCTCAGTTTCTAGCATCCTTCAGAAATTGCTTCCTTTGCCAACATAGTTCATTTAGAGTGCTGAGCCATCCTGCGATTTGTTTGGTTTAGGGTTCACTATATTGTGTGAATCCAATTACTCTCTTTGGTTAAATTGCTGTTTATGGCTTAGCTACTAGCATGTTGCGCAAA